CTGTTGATGATTGCAGCCTCATCTCCCGTCTAACAGCCATGAGATTAAGAGTGTGATCGGAGAGTTTTTGTGCCGGTTTTCACCCTTGCGATCACTGAGACATCACTGAACAGTTGGCGTCTGGTCGTCATAATGAAGTCAATCTCATTTTTTGTCGAACCGTCGGGGCTCGACCAGGTCCACTTCCTGTGGGGCCGCTTCTGGAAGAAGGAGTTCATCATAAAGAGTCCCTCTTTCTCCATAAAGTCAGCCAGCTGCTGGCCCCTACGGTTCCGTTGCCCTACTCCAAAATTCCCTAACTTCAGCTCACCGCCTTATCTTGTGCCTAGTTTTGCGTTGAAGTCTCCCATCAACACCGTGTAGTGGATTTTGAAGGAAGGCATGGCTCTAGAAATATCCTCATACATTTCCTCCACCTCCTCATCGGGATGTACCAGCGGTGCGAGGTACAGCCGCTAATGTGTTTGTATAGTAGCGCTACTATCTCTATCCGAGTACAGAGCCTGGGTTTTTTGTTTTAATTTGTAAGACAGTGTCGTTATATCCTCAAAACCCACCACGCACTTACTGTTGCATTGGAAAATCTTTTTAAGTAACTTGACCGGAAAGGATATGGTATTGTGTCAATGGCAAATACATTATTCACCTTCGTTTTCCACCAATAGGTATATTCATTATGACAAAACCCCTGAAGGACCTCAGTTTTGTTACTCAACGATTACGTATTAAGATCATAAACATATATAAGACATATATATATATATATACATATATATATATATATATATATATATATATATATATAATATATAGACATATTCGACCCTTGTAAATTTTGATAAATCTTCTTGTCAGTTATAAGCGTATTTTAGACTACTATATTTTAGATAATTCAAGTTAAGGTAGTGAGCCGTAAAGTTTACGCTAGTTTGAGACAACTCTACAAATTCAAAAACGTTCTATCGCTATGTATAAAAAACTGCTAATTAAATCCCTTATTCTATCTATTAATGGTTATGTTGTGCGTGTTACTTATAAATATAAATAATTACTTAGTCAATAAATTGGGTCGACTTCTCAACTGCTGTATCCACTTCGTTTTCGGTCTTCGAAAGTATGACCACATCTTATTCTAAAGTACTGCCAACTAACAGCGATAAGAGAAAGGTAATTTACCTTAAAAACGACTGTGGAGTTGACAATCTAATATCTATCTCTTTCCATCTTGTGTACATATTTGACGTAATGTCTCGTTTTTCCGGCAAAAACATGTCAGGGTCAAGACTGGTTTGCCAACATTCGGTAGGCCATTTTAGTAATAATAGTGATTCATATTTTTATCCTCATTTCCATAAACATAACATAACATATCAGTCCTATAAGGGATAGGCAGTGATATTAACACCCACATTTTGCTAGATATATTTAAGTCCCTATGTAACAGGGGGCAAGCCTGTTACCGTACACCGGGCACACAGTTGTTAGGCAAGCGATATTCAGAAACATTATTATTATTCTCTTTCTTTAATTTAAATCTACATTAAGCAATAATTCAAATTATAACAAATTCTAAATTATAAAAAGTCTATTTTTTTGGTTTGATAAACATTTTTAAAACCATATTGTTAACTTAAATATATAATGTAACTATCAAAAAGTTACGTACCCCTGCTATTCCTAATAACCTTGCATTGGTTTTATTTACATTTGGTATCTCATCAAAAGAGCAAATCAAAAGAGGCATTCCATCTTAGTCCTCACGAGTGACAACGCATCTGCATTTTGATTCGTTATCGAGGATAGATGTAGATGTCTATGGTCCACAGCAACCACTTACCATCTGGTGGGCTGTGTGCTCGTTTGTCATCCTGTCTAATAAAAAAAGGCGAAAAGTAAGTAATTATAAGTTTAATTATAATATTAGTGTTATCTTGTACAACATACAAATACTATCTACACACATTAATAACATACACTGTATCGCGTTTATGCTCGATGTATGTTTTTAACTAGTGCAGTAAGTTTTTCGCTCAAAGTTTTAGCGTACCTTATTGGAAAATATACGCGATAAAAGCGTAATAGCCATATATAGTTTCTAAAAATAGTTATGCTCATAACAAATTGAAACTATACGCGAATAGTCCCGACCTGTATTATAATATCTTCGTGAATTGTGAACTGATTTTTATTTTTCTTTATATTAAGTTTTTCCATTTCAATTTGTGGATATAATTTCACTCCTAAGGATGGCAAAATAGCGAATGAAGTACTGATGTCATGTTATTCCACTCAAAGGAGTAAAAATACATAATATTATATACATATAATTAATTGTTATATACGCTTCGCATCGGTTTCAGAATGTGAAATTATTTTATTATCTTTGTTCCTTGATTTTTTCGTTTTTGAAAACTTGTTCGAAAATTTAAGTATACTTAGTTTTTCGCCTCGCAACAAGCGAGCTCTTACCACACACAGTACAGTAGCATGGTAAGTAGCGAGGAAAGGAGGTAGAGATGTAGTGTGGCCACAATACTCGTCGTGCCGCACGTCATGCTCGCTACCTGTGTTGTCGGTTTTCTGGGCGCGAGTCATAGGGCTGACAAGATGAGCGCGAGTGGCCGACCACATAGAATAACATCATACAACATAGATTAATACATACATAATAGAACGGGGAATGGGCGGAGCGCGCGTAGCCACTAAAATGTCACTAACACGTCAAGTCACACGTATAAATGTCAACACGAGATGTGTTTTGACGTTACAATCGTTTCCAAATTTCGCATGCAAATTATTTACAAAATGTCAAATTGCACCCGGTTTACATATAAATATGTATTAAAATTTAATGATAATCTTGAACATTAATCAAAGGTGTAAAATGTGTAAATTTATTCAGTGACAACGCAGCGAATCGGGTTTGGCGATGCCAATCTTCGTATAAAATAAAATTGGCAGCCATTCTATTGTGTATTATCGCTACCTGTGTTGTCGGTTTTTTGGGCGCGAGTCATAGGACTGACAAGATGAGCGCGAGTGGCCGGCCACAAAATCGCGCGAACGCAGTTAGAATCAAGCGTTCGTTACGGAAGCATCGTTGTATTGCGTACCATTGGCGAGGATGACGACTTATATTTCATTTTTATGACATTGATATAAATAACTATACCAAATATGCATATAGTTTCAACAACCATTGTGTTGCAAACGCGAGCGACCTAGTGTGGAGCGTCGCGATTAATCGCGCGAGTAGAGCAGTGTGTAGGTAGAGAGGGCAACATCGCGGCAGCGCGAGGATTAGAGCGATGAGCAACGCGAGGAGTAGAGCGATGAGTAGCACGAGGAGTAGAGCGATGAGTAGCACAAGGAGTAGAGTGATGAGTAGCACGAGGAGCATAGTGTGGAGGAACCTTTACACGTAGATACCACAACCATGCCGCGACTTTTATTTATGTGAGGTTATTTGAATACATAGTATGTGAAAAAGGACGTTTTGTTACTATTTGTAAATTGAATCGAATTAAAAGGAAAACTTAATAAAGATATATTATTATTTAGGTATGGACATAGAATACTAATAAAATATTTATGGACATCGAATACTAATAAAATAACTCTCGCTGGGACATGTCAATGAAGCGGAATATTTGCCTTAATAATTGTTGTGTAGAAACTACCTATCAGTAAACTTATTTTAAAAAGCAATAGACATCAATCCAATTTATAACGCACATTTAATATAAAATATTAGCAGTTACCTTAAAAATATTACCCTTCTGACGCCTTTTACTAATTTTTTAAAGTATCAAGACGCTGTTTATATGTGGAAAAACTGACAAAAACACTTCAGCAGGATAGTATTTACAGAATGTGTATAATTGGTGAGTAAAAGTAACATTGTAAATAAATGAGTATTCTTGGAACTCTTAATACGTACAAGTGTATGGTGGTAATAAATATTTAAAATAAAGTGAGGGTTGAAAAATTTGTAATTTGCAAATTACAAGCATCCTCTTACGAAGATTGTCAATATTTTAAGAGTTTTATATAGGATTGTAAATATCTGAAATCACATTAAAGCATAATAAAAAAATATGAAACATACTTGCAGATGATATTTTTATTCAAACAATTTCTTAAATATCTATCTATACATATGATATTTAGATACATTATTAAATAATAAATAAAAATTTATGTTATTTATACACAACGTGGTCCCTACGGTGATGGTGCTAAGTTACAATATCACGTTAAAGTAGGTTTTTTTTAGTTAAACTTTAAATTATTTAATTCTAATTAAGGACTGTGATTGCTTAGAGTTTTTCTGTGTGATAGACTTTGCAATGAGAATATCCGCAGTAGAAAATAGAATCACAGTAACTGACATAGCCTTACGGATCAGTAAGCTAAATTGACAGTGAGCCAACTAAATAGCTCGAAGAACCGAAAACCAATGAGGAAGAAAGACAAAGGTTCTCGAATAGGAGCCTCGTACTAGTAAACAAAGTGGCTTTCCACTAAATGAACGTACTTAGATGACGACCTGGTAAAAGACGCATGAATTTAATGGTAAGAGACGGCTCAGTAAACACTTACGCTTAGCCCGTACTTTGTGGCATTCTTTGGAAGGCAGACTAAACGCCTTAAGGCGTTCTCTACCAGTCAATAAAAGTATAACCCGTGCCCTCTAAACTTGCCGGTGACGGTGTGACGTCACTCAAGGGATAGGGCTTTTTATTTGATTGCTTATGGTGCGGAAAGCGCGACTCAGTGGTGCGCTAGGCGGTTGGGGAATGTAATATGCATTGCACGCAACGGAAAACTTAGAGCGCACGAGTTGTAAGCAGATACTCGTAACACCACTTTGGAGGTGCAAATGTGCAATATGTTTACAAGTGGAATTTTGATGGGCAAAAAAGAATATCATGATGATCATCAACAGTTTTTAAAAATTGTACATACTATTTTTTAAATATTATTAAAAAATATGGCACTTATGTTATCTTCTTTTCATTCTTCTGCCTTTTGATAAAGCATAAAACATTGATCCATATGAAAGAAGCAGACGCCACATAGACGACCCTCAAATTAGAGGGTATGAAGAAGAAGTTTATTGTCTGCCCCGGAATCCAGAACACTTGGTTGGCAATAAAAGTCTTCCAATACTTCTCCCTGAGCTCTTCAAAGATATCTTCTCTGCGTTCGGCTATACCCATTACTATAAAAGAATAAAAAATAATTTAAAAATTTATATAGTAAACGTCTTCGAGTGGCAAAGGTGGTGTGGCGAACTGATGAAATACGCAGGTTGACGGCTCTATGCGCAGTGTCTTGCATTGAGTTGCGGCGCGAGTTCGAATCCCGCACGGAACAAGTATTTGTATGGCCTACAAATAATTGATTCGGGTCTAGATATTTTTCGTTGTACAATTTATATTTTTAATCTATCTCCACGATACAGGAGACCATACTTGTATGGGGGTAACGTTAAAAAAAAAGAAGAAAAAAAAGAGTTATCGATGGATGCAGGTAGCTCAGGCTCGTACAATGTAGCGATAAGGGAATGCTATGTTCAGCAGTAGACTCGTGAGAGGCTGTGATGATAGTGACAATAAAGCGGGTTAATTACAAAGAAATACAGTATATCACAGACTCTATAACTAAAACATTGTGTATCGCAGAGTTATCTAGGTCCGAGTGGAAGAGTTAGGCGGAGCGTACAGCGCGTACTACAACAAAAAAGAACTCTGAATAGGTTTACCACCCGTAGGTACTATTATATTCAGTATCGTTTTATATTTTGATCAATTGTAGTATATATTATAGAAAAATAATATAGTACGAATAATACCATATTTTATCCCCAATTCAATTGTCGCGCTTTTTTATATTTACTGTGATTGGAAGTCTGGAACAAGTAAGTCTTAAGGAAAGAATATTTTCCGACATGAATGTAAAATTGAAAGAAGAAAGAAAAGTAGAGCATGTATTAATTTAATAAAAAATTAATTGTTAATTTATTATACTAGGTGGATTGAAAAGTACTCGGCCTAACACAGATCCATTCAATTCTAAAAATCAAATCTACCCACATTATTTAGTTCAGTTCAGACTAGTTCATTGTGTGAAGTTCGAAACGTGTGCGATAATTAGTTGTGATTTTATAAATTTATTAACAAAGTAATCGGACATAATTTCCGCGAATGGAGCAAATCGAGCAGCGTGCCGTCATTAAGTACCTCCATAAGAAGGAGCTATCATCAAAAGCCATCCATGATGACATGGTCAGTATATTAGGCGATTGTGCTCTGTCATATTCATCCGTCAAAAAATGGATAGCAGAATTTAAGCGTGATAAAGAGAGTGTGAAAGATGAACCCCGCTCTGGAAGGCCTTCGACGTCAACTACTGACGAAAATATTAAAAAAGTACTTGATTTAATAATGGGAGACCGCAGATTAAAAATTAGAGAGATAGCCGAGATTATAGGCATCTCTTATGAACGAACTCAAAACATCATTGTCAACGAATTGGGTTTCCACAAGGTGTCTGCGAGGTGGGTTCCGCGACTGCTTTCAGTTGAACAAAAAAGGACGCGATTGACTATTTCACGCGACTGTTTGGAGTTATTTGAAGCCGATGCAGATGATTTTTTGAATCGTTTTGTTACTATGGACGAAACATGGGTTCATTACTGTACACCGGAAACAAAACAACATTTAAAACAGTGGAAAAGACCTGGTTCACCACCCCCTAAAAAGGCTAAGTCGATTTTGTCGGCAAATAAGGTGATGGCTTCAGTATTCTGGGACTCGAAAGGTGTGATTATGATTGATTATCTTGAAAGGGGTCAGACTATAAACTCTGATTACTACTGCACCTTACTACGTCGTTTACGAGAGGAAATAAAAGAAAAACGTCGAGGAATGCTCAGAAGAAAAGTCCTGTTTCATCAAGATAACGCCCGTGTTCACACGTCAGAACAGTCAATGGCTGAAATTCACAACTGTGGCTTTGAACTGTTACCGCATCCGCCGTATTCACCTGATCTGGCACCATCAGACTTCTTTCTGTTCCCTAACCTAAAAAAGCACTTGGGAGGTCAAAGATTTTCGACAAACAACGAGGTCAAAGCAGCTGTAGACGCATATTTTGACTCTAAGGAAGAATCATTTTTTTTCAACGGTCTAAATGCTTGGAAGGGGAGGTGGCAAAAGTGTATTGAACTTGATGGTGATTATGTAGAAAAATAAAAATATAACTGATTTAGTATGTGTTTATTTTCTTGATTAGGCCGAGTACTTTTCAATCCACCCTCGTAATATGAATAAAAATTGTTCAGACTCTTATAATTAGTTTAAACGTGAGGTAGAAGGTAAGGTGATTAGATTATTGATAACAATATAACAAATATATATGAAAAAATACACAAAGATTAAAAATGTGTGTACTTTTTTTCTACTGAATTTCTTAAAAGTACTATATTTTTGCATCTTTATAGAAAAAAAAGGTGACTACCCTAACCCTGACATTCAGAGTTTCCGTTTGTAACACATGCCCGAAGTCTAGCTTCGCTGCACGCTCGAACAGAGTAGGCACCACACTGTACAATAATACAACTTATGTAAAATCTACCTGTCCGATCATATTTTTAATTTAAAATACATGTACTACCTCCTGCTTGAGACCCTGTAATTAATAAGATTAAAACTAAACCCAAGCACACCAGTGCAAGACTTCAAGACAGAGTAAGTTCATTCTGCATAGATGGGACCATAAACAATAATTAAAAAGCTGAAGGTACTTCGGGTTAACATTGACATCGGGACGTCAGTCACCTCAGTCCCCCGTGACCATGGGATTAAAAATCAATCAAGATTAAACGTGCAATAATCCGTAAAAGTAGTTTTAATCAATGAAAAGTGTTCGTGTAAATAGGTAGGTATAAGAAATCATTATTAAAATACATGTTCTTACAAGTTTAAAGCCTTTATCCGTGTCATTACTAGGCACAAGACTCTCATTTATGAGTGATTGATTGGTACACATGTCTTCGAATATTTTTTTAATTTCCCAGAAATCAGGTTTCCTCACGATATTTTCTTCACCGTAACTATTTCATGTATATCATATGTGTCATAATGGTGACAATGTACTATAACATTTACGTGAAGCGCTAAGACCCCAGCCGGTGTCTGAGCTACCACGGCAGTTTTAATAGAACAGAAAACAAAAACTACTTTTCAGCCACGACGTATTGGAATTAACCTATTTTGATTTCTACAATGAAATTGAATTCTTGCAACATTTCTTCATAATCTAACATCGAATGCCGGTAAGATAATGACTGAGAATTTCATGCATCATTCCTGCTTACGCTTCTTGATCACTCTAATTGGCACTTAATATGAATACTATTTCTAATTGTAATCGAAAATTGTAAATCTTTAAAGTTACGGGATGACATGACTCTACGGAAAGGTGGTAAAAAATGCAGGAAGTCGATAAATGGACGTAGCTCAGGACCATGTTTTGTGGCATTTCTTGGGCGAAACGTTTATTCAGCAGCAGAATTTGAAGGGCTGTAATCCTGTTATGATGATGATGATGATGATGATGCCAGTATGACATCTTATTAGCTAAGTTAAAATGAAATTATAACTAAAATATGATTATCAAAAAGAAACTTACAAGTATAAAACGCGGCAAGCAGGATTGGCGACATAATTAATTGATCGGACGCAACTTTAGTGACCACCACCTTTACAGAGGTGCCAACAAATTTTCTGTCAAGAAATTTGTACCTGTGTGGAAAAAAGAAAAATAAGGATTTTTTTATAATTTTGAATAGTTTCATTCCTGTTACATTTCCCTCGGTCGTCTCTTACGACACCCACTGGGTGATATGGGGTAGTCGAATCTCTTACGCCGCAACTACACGGCATCTGTTATTGAAAAATTGTCAATATTAAAAGCAAAAATATTACGACCAAAATCTCTTAATACTAAGTACCTGGATGACCGAGCTTTGTTCGGTATTTTTTTTGAAATCGTGTTTTTTGTTAAATATATTTAGATACAAATTACATACTGATGAAATATGAATAAAATTTTTCGATCTTCTCGGTCATTATTTTCGTGTTTTAAAAAAAATATACAAATAAAAGGGCTCCAAATAATATAATTTCTCACAAAAGAAGGAACTTGAAAAAAAGGAAAAAAGAGGTGGCAATAATTTGCGTGTTTAACCTTAGTTTCTTTAATTAATTTTCAAATTAAAAAATAAAGACAAAAATGTATATGTTCAAAGTTACAACCGTGTTAGAAATAAAACATTAATTAATTCTTCTTGAATTCACCGGGACCACGTTCTGTTAGGCTGTTAGGCTAACTTCAAGATCTTGTCTTTGTTTCTTTATTTCGCCTACAGTTGACCTGCCTGTACCGAACTTTCGAGCAATGACAGGGTAGCTGTAACCTTTACCTAACATTTCTATAATCGGCGATTTGTCTTTTATTGTTAATGTTGAATATTTATGGCGGCACCATGATGTTAGCGAATCGAACGCGCTAAATTGACACTGTACGTACTACACGAAAGGCGATGAACAAAATACTGACGACGCCTGATAAACAGTAGAAGAAGACTGATTGATTCATGGAAGGTGCGCGCTTACCCGGGTAAGTATATATATATATATATATATATATATATATATATATATATATATATATATATATATATATATATATATATATATATATATATTTACCTCTGACAGTATACGGTGCACTCTCTTTTATTCATAACAACAGGATGTAATGCGCCATCGATTAAATTCTCGTGACGCATTACACCCTGTTACAAGCGGTAACGCTCTACTGCACAGTAGAGCGTTAACGCGATGTGCTGCAGTTTTTATGCTAATCATTCGTTTTACATTGGCACAATTATTGCCTACATGGCTACATGGCCTAGTTTCACTTGGAACTCGGCTAATTCATCATTACTGTTTTGAATGAGTGTGTTAATACGTCATATACCTAATGGTAGGGTCTTAATTTTTATAATAATTATATATTACTAGATTTTGTCATCGGCCTCGCGCGCATGCATGTAGGAAAACGACATTATTTCGGAAAATCATAGCAAATGTGTTATTCTGAGACCTACTCGTAAAACAACATAAAGAGATAGTTACAGATTAATGCTAGAAATCGACACCACAAGAACCGTGCATTTGTCCGGAATAAACTATTCCATATGCAAAAGATCATGTCGATCCGATCCTAAGAAACTTTCACATTTGTAATATTAGTAGAGATGCCATTCGCAATTTGCTCATGAACGTAGATATTCCCATTCCCAACAGGAATAACGAACAATCGTATGACCTTATCCATATGCTTTCTACGGTCCTCGTTATACCTAGAGGCATGTCGTCTTCCACTTGTCTACTTATTGTAGGCTGCGTTTTGGCCATTTTTTTTTTAAACATTACAAAACAAGTTGAAGATTGCCATTAAAAGGGTTAAGTGTTACCAACTGAAAGACTTTCTTCTACGACTAATTAGTATAATAGTTAAATGAATATATAATATTAAAAAAGTAAAGTTACAGCCTATATACACGTCCCACTGCTGGGCACAGGCCTCCGTTTAATTCTGAGAGGGTTTTAGGGCAAGGAATTGTCCGCCGCGCTGCCCCAATGCGTGTTGGCGAACTTCACATGTCTTCGAAATATTTTTTTCATATTTCTCTGACATGCAGGCTTCCTTACGATGTTTTCCTTCACCGCAGAGCACGTGGTAGATCAGATGGTTAGCGCTCGCTATAAATTTCACAGTACGCGAGCAAACCGGGTTCGATCCACGCCGGCACCAATGAAATTGTTAATATGGTATATTTAGCATTGGCATCTTTGATTTCGCTGGTTTTATGTTGTACGAGTATGTGCCGTTATTATAGTATTAGGCAACGAAACTTTAAGCATAGATTTCTACACAGGTCTCAAATAATTGTTTTTATATAGGGTTCAAATATGATCTACTTAATCAAAAAGGCCTTTTGGACTGCAAAGCGTAAAAAAATCTTACATCATTACATACACCGTTTTTCTTGAATTGAACTAGTTGAAAACATTCCTTTTATAATTTATTAGAGTTTAAAAACGTCGAACTTATAAATTGTCTGATTATTAATGTTAAAATCTAGTTTATTTTCATCCTCATTTCATTTTCAATATTGCTAAAAGTGCTATGTGTAGGTAAGTTAAGAATTGAAAAATGTAAACTGTAGAAGAGCCACGCAGATGGCTGTAGCACGAATGGGTCAACTCGCCCGGGATAGGATCATACTCTTGGAAAACACCAAAGTATAACAGTAGGTTGTGTTTCGTGAGCAAAGACAAACGAACACTTTACTAATAATGAGGTGTACTATCTTAGTCTTCAGGGATGGTATTATCATCATCATCATCATCACCATCATCAGTACAGCCATTAACAAGTCCACTGCTGAACATAGGCCTCCCCTAAGGAATGTCATAAAGCACGGCCTTGAGCCACCTGCATCCATCGACTTCCTGCAAGTCTTACCAGGTCGTCACTCCATCTAGTGAGGGGTCGCTAGTCACTACGCCTACCGGTACGAGGCTGCCATTCGAGAACCTTTTTTCCCCATCGGTTGTCTGTTTTTTGAGCTATATGGCCGGCCCATTGCCACTTCAGCTTACTAATCTGTTGGGCTATGTCGGTCACTCTGGTTCTACTGCAGATATCCTCATTTCTAAGTTTATCACGCAAAGAAACCACGAACATAGCCCTCTCCAGCTGCAGGCCAGCAGTGAAGGACCACGTCTCAGATCCATAAGTCATCACTGGCAACACGCATTGGTTGTATCTAGGTTTTATCTATCTAATCTAGTTAGATTTTGAGGTTTATTTTATTATTATATTGCTTTCTTCATTTAGATGTTAATTGTATTAAAATTTTGTATACAGAATGGGTCCCACATATATGCAATAAATGAAACCACAAGTAATACTACTTAGTCCGTAGAAGTGTAGAAAAATTAAATATTAAATTAAAACCCGTAAAATAAAAAAGTGAAATTTTCAAACAAAATAAATATTAAAATAAATTCAGTAAAAGTGAACACTCTGTTTAGACAACGTACCTTGACCCCTTGGAAGAGTGACAACGTTGCACGCGGGTGGCACGCCGACAAAAGACACCGCTGTCGATATGTCGCAATACCAATAGTTTGCACTGCGTGGCAACGTCGCTTTTTAATGTTCAAGGATTCAAGTTCATTGAATCATTGACTTAGTGACCCAATTCTATAGAGTGTTCAAATTTGCTTAAAATTAAAACTCTACTTTTTGACCTAATTACTGGACCGATTACGTTCATTTTGTGTATATCGTCAGCAAAGACGATAACAAGTATATGGTTTCATTTATTGCATATATGTGGGACCCATTCTGTATATTCGAACAACAAATATGATGAATTAATAACTACCTAAACTTTTTAACATAACAGTAAAATTATAGTGATTAATATTTTGTTATGTTGTATACAATACTGTAGGTACGTACCAAAAATAAAGAGTAGTCGGGTACAAGCAACTGCCTACTGCAACAATACGCCCTGCCGCTGCTAAGTCGAGCTCCGGTTTTTCAGGCTGCAAGAAATATTAATTTTATCCTTATTAATAAAAATTACGTGTCACATTGTTTTTCCGCGATGAACTCCTAAATTACTGAACTGATTTCAATGAAATTTTGCACACTGTGTGCAGTTTGGTTCAACTTGAGAGATAGATAGGATAGTTTTCAATTTTTTACGAAGTATAGTATTTCAGAATTTTCTATAGGACAAAGTGTTGTCGAAGAAGGTAAAACTATAAATATACTCTATATCACAGAAATAGTAATAATATTAGGATTACTGTGTTCTATGAACATAAGTAGTTTTGAACACTGTTGGAAATAGTGGGAGCTTAGTAAAACTTTATTTTAGTACGTATTATTCATTCTATATAATTATCTTATTTGTTTCACCGACTTTTCCCTCTATATAGTTTATAAGATGCAGGTAAATATTCCACAATTTCAACTCACGCTGCAACAGGTAGCGTGGCCGAGCGGTCTAAGGCGCTGGTTTAAGGCACCAGTCTCTTCGGAGGCGTGGGTTCGAATCCCACCGCTGCCAGGTTGTTTTTTCAAATGTTGTATTTTTTTTATAAATTAGCCAGTAAACAATTTTAATGGTTTATTGTGCACTGGTATAACTTTACAATGTTACATTAAATTTTACACAAAAACATTTATTACCAAGCACATTATAATAAAAATAAAGAAACATTAATAAATAATGTTGTATTTTTTTCTCATTTTATATAAAATAATGTATTCTCTGACTTTTATAAACCTGAGAAAAGTATTTTTATACAAACACAGTTATCACCACAAATATAAATAACGTCGAAACAAAAAACGTGTTTTAAAAATGTTATTTAGGTAGGTACCTAGGTAATACTTATTAACTTACATTATTTTGTTTACGAGGTATTTCTATTCCGTATAGTTGGAATGTGTATCTAATGATATAAAAAATAAAATTTGTTTGTTCGTATTTTATGCGCTGTCATACCACTCATCAGATGGCGATAAATCTTTGTCAACATATTGCTTGCACTTCCGCGAAGGTTAGGCATAGTTGGACTCGGTAGATGGCACTGTTGTAGAATCCAGATATCACCCGTGCGAAGCCGGGGCAGATCGCTAGTATACTTATAAAATATATAAACATAGGTACACTATAAACATAAAAACGATAGAACAAGGTATGTATATACTAAATAGAATAAATTCTATTAAATATAAATTAATAAATAGCCTAACTACTAACTAACTAAACCTAACCACAAGGAAGCCCTCGGCAGGGGAGACCTAACGGCCGCGGGTCAAGGATATTATGGGAGTTATGTCTTTTTTAATATCTGCTTATATAACCAGACTGGTTCTGTCTGTTTAGGGTATTTTCAAAGGGTTTTATCACTACCTACCTACTGTAACGTAAAATTTTATTCTTATCAGCTTAATTCACTTATTTAGATACTGCAAGCGTCTTACTACAATGGCATAGTTCCATTGGTAACTCTCCGCATTTGTAAAAGTGTAGTTTAAACTGTAAACTAGAGTTTATATTATATTCGTGTATTAGTATTTGCATACCAAGTTGAATTTGTTGAACGTTTGCTGGGAGAGCTCTGCCGCTGTATAGAACGTGGCGTAAACGAGCGTGTTTGTGAGAACCGGCCGCCGCTGCAGCGAGCGTCGCCACCAGCTGATCAGCTTTGACATCATTCATACAGTCCAAGCTCTCACTTTGCTGCTCATGAACAAATTTGTTTTATGTTAGAAGAAATAAAATTATAAACCGTAAAATTACGTCTATCAGCATGGCTTATATCCATAGTGTCACTGATGGTTGTAAAAAATTACTTTTTATATTAGTTAAAATAGTAAAATAAACCAGTTTTACTATTTTAACTATTTTAAATTTAGCATCAGATACATAACAATTGCAACTGCCGCGTTGCTTCTCGCCATCAACAACTGTTCATAATTATGTACATGTGTATAAAATCACTACGTTGTTAGTTGCGTGTCACTACGTATAGTACCTACTATTTTATTCTGTGACTACTATTCCAGGTATAATGTACTCTGTGCTATACTACCACAGAAATCTGTGTATACTACTAATACTTCTTTTTTAACTACTTCTCTGTCTAATACTCTTGATTGGACTTTGGACTATGGTATATATGGTATATAGTTTTTATTGTAGCTGTTTTGAATAAAACCGCCATCTATCGGAGCATACGAGGTTTACTTAGCTTCTCCTAGTCAACTTTTACGACATGCGTGATACAAGATGGAGTGACCAACGCTTTTTGCCGCAACCAACCCAAAAATAAAAAAGATCTTAAAGGATATAGTATTATGTTTATATTATACTAATATCGACAATCTAATGTTAAAACCATTTTCTGAGCTAAAGAATACAATAAATAAATATTTAATGTAATTTATTAATGCTACCAGATAAAAAACGTTATAGTATAAATAAAATATGGAGGTTTTTTTGTGTAACAATGATAGAAGTACATTTTATTGTAATATGATATTATGACATAGAAAGTCGCAAATTAATAGAGGCAATAATGTGGTTCATATGAACCCCTGTTAATTTATTTGTATGTGGAGTTGTAGTCACATTTGTAGGTATGTCACGGTTTAAATCATTCAACATATTATTATCTATAGATAAATGAAATAAATTTATAGATCGGTGTTATTAGGTAATCAATACACTTCTTTACACAGAAAAAATAACGTTTTAGAATAGGAACAATATACAAATTATCAAACAATAACAAATCAGTCTTACAAAATATATCGGTACATACCTAACTATATGGAAATGATTAAATTAAAATCACAAATATAGAGAAAATAGGAAAAATAAAACCAAAACAAACACGACTTCTACCACTCATGTACCACAGTATACTACGGTTCCCAGTTCCCCATCCCAAATGAGCCTGTCAATTGACTTCAATGGAATAATTTATAAACTCAAGAGTCACTGTACACGTATTCTGTATATAAACAATATCCGATTAACAACTAAACAAAGTTAATTATGTAAATCAATATTCAGTAATCTCATACTTACTTTAAATAAAAAAAATATAAGATTATACTTAAAACTTGCTTCTCATAATAATAAATGCTTGATGAGGGTGCAACGGGGTGGTGGGCGTTTACGTGCATGACAAAAACAAAAAAAAAAAACAAAAATTAGTGTCCTGTCCAGCCTGACGGCCGCTTCAGCTACAGGCCTCACGTCCCGCCGATCTACTAAGGCTTCTAGTCATATAGAGATACCCGGTTCAAAAAGAAAACAGTCCTAGTAAAACCCGTGGATTTCACTGTCTCGCCAGCAACACAAAGTTAGGAATATGGAGTGTAGAAGTAAGGAGTACAGACTGTGTATTAAAAAGTGTCCATAAAAACCTTTAAATAAGGTGGCGCCACTATATAGCTACGGGGTAAATTTTAAAGAACGCACCGAAAAATATTAGTGGGATAGACGACTTTTTCGAGGTTATATTTACTGAATAAAATTATTTTAGATTTTAGAGCTACTGAGCAGTTTAGCAGCACACTTCAAACCGTCGAAACTGCTAAGTTCATTTCATCCCAGTAGCTACTCCAGCGCTGTTGTGGAGAGTTTTTGAACTGTTATTTACTGCTTACAGATGACCACTTTTTCAACTATTCTACTATGGGAGTTGGTACTCCTTACTGTTACACTCCATAGTTAGGAATTTGCATTTAGAAAAGGCCAAAATTAGGGGCTTTTTAGGTGCTAATTACGTGCCAAGTTTAAAAATTAGCTGCTCTAAAATTTTCACCGCAGCGAATTGTTGGAAATTTGCGTCGCTGGCAAAAAGTATCGCTTAATTCCTTCCTATTAATATTTATCGTATACGTGTTATCGTCACTGCGTTGCTAGCAATACTTTTTGCCGATAAACGAGCACACAGTACACCTGATGGTGATTGGATGCTGTGGCCCATAAATATCTGCATTTATCCTCGATTAAGAATCAAAACAAAACAAAATGCAGATGTGTTGTCACCCCTAAGGACTAAGATGGAATGCCCCGTTTCCAGTTAAAAAGGTCTCCGGATCTCTACACTCACCATACGAAACACACCAGTATTAAGCTGCTATTTTACAGTGGTATTCCGTGAGAGCGTGGTCCTTCCCCGGTCGAGCCGAACCATTCGTGATGCAACCATAATATAACTGTAGCGTGGCTCTACGGCGTATATAAAGTAAATTTCAACAGTTCGTTGCGGTGAAAATTTTTGAGCAGCTAATTTTTAAGCTTGGCACCTAATTAGCACATTAGAAGCCCCTAATTTTGGCTTTTTCTAAATGCAAATCCCTCACTTTGCGTTGCTGGCAAGACACAACTGTGGATTTTGTAAGAGGCGGTGACGATAAACTGCGGTCTAAGTCTTGTTAACGTTAGACGTCAAAACAAAAATAAACAACAAAATTGATTACCCTATTCAGTCCTGTGGGAGTGGTAACAAGTGATAGACGATGGGGCGGTATAAACGTTCGCGGCAGTAAATCTCGTTTACGTCAGGCGTAAAATACATAGACTTCTACTACTCAAAGATAGATAGATAAGAAGTAAGTATTTTGTAAGGTAATTAGCTCGGCAGGGACGAGAAGTCGGGAAGTAGCATTTAAGACCGAAGACTTCTATGTTTAAAACTGTATGTGACATAGATATAGTATCCTAATATGGGTTTCGAATATTATATTAATAGAAATATATATAGTAGTTAGAACTACTGTATTTTAATATGGCTTGAGACTGTTAATAAAGACTCATTTAAATATAAAATATCAATTATAAGCATTCGTTTTGTGATTACAGTTCTTCACAATTCCACTGCTGAACGTTAGGGAAGACACCAAGAAACGCTACTAAGCAAGGCCCTACATGACGGTGTGGCGCCTTGTATTACGGTCGATTTTTTTCTCTAGATGATTAGATTCCTATGTTTAGCAGAAGACAAATGATCATGACTAACTTAATCAACATACTGTTGATGTAACGAATTTTTTTATAGGATTGGGTGACAAAAATTTATCAAATTTTTTATAGAATAATTGTGACAAACAAGCACACAGTCCACCTGATGGTAAGGGGTTGCTCCGGCCCATAGACATCTACATCTATCCTCGATTACAAATCGAAATGCAGATGCGTTGTCTCCCGTGAGGACTAAGATGGAATGCCTCGTTTCCAATAAAAAGGGTCTCCAGTTCTCTACACTCACCATACAAAACACAGCAGCATTAAGCTACTATTTTACACTGGTATTTTGTAAGAAGATATTTAAGCATAGAACTTACATCACATCTCCAGTAATTCTGAACGTGTTTGTTGATATAAAATAAAACAGAAAACAAGTTGCTTTGAAGACATAGCTTCTTTACAATAAGAAAACTTTTCATAAGTATTACAATTTATATGAATAATAAATCATACGATAAAAATTTGGTTAGTATTTGTCACAATGCACATAATATTTCAAATTCAGTAATAATATAACTTAAACTTTAAAATTACGTTTTTTTATTGTCAACAATAGATTACTGTTTATATACTAGTTGTCAACATAATAATAAAAGTCAAAATGTACAAATAAAAACTTTTTTAGGTCAATAGGACCTATATATAATGGACAGGAACGACAAACACAGTTAATCTATACCAGTCAGAGAATGACAAAGCACATGCGGTTAATGCTCAACTACTTTTTAATTTGAAAGATTTATGCAAAGAGAACATTAATGACTATGCTTTATGAATTGTGTAATAATTGTATTAAGTAGTTTATGAATTAGCCAGTTACATTTTAGCTTCAGGTAATTTAAGTTTGTCACCAGACGGATGAATCAACTCATGTGCCGTATTGCATCACCGCCGAGAATGTTCCTACTATGATAATCATCATCATCATTACAGCCCTTCACAAGTCCACTGCTGAACATAGGCCGCCCTCTAGTATTGCCACAAAGCACGGTGCTGAGCCACCTGCATCTATCGACTTCCTGCATATCTTACCAGGTCGTCACTCCATCTAGTGGGAGGTCGCCCTACACTACGCCTACTGGTACGAGCCTGCATTCGAGAACCTTTGTTGCCCCATCAGTTATAGGTTCTTCGAGCTATATAACCGGCCCATTGCCACTTCAGCTTACTAATACGTTGGGCTATGTCGGTCACGCTGGTTCTACTGCGTATATCCTCATTTCTGAGTTTATCACGCAGAGGAACCCTGAGCATAGCCTTCTCCTTGAGCGTCCTCTTACGGCCAGTAGTGAAGGACCACGTCCCAGTTCCAGGGGTCATCACTGGCAACACGCACTGGTTGTACAATCTAGTATTCAGAGTTTGAGGCACACCTGACGAGAAGATGCGTCGTAATTTCCCGTACGCTGCCCAGCCGAGTTGAATCCGTCGATTGACCTCTCGGTCGAAGTTGGACTTACCTAGACGTACTATTTGTCCCAGGTAAACGTACTCGTCAACAACTTTGAGCATAGTGCTCCCAAGAACTATCGGCATGGATGTGACATGGACATTAAACATGATCTTAGTTTTGTCCACGTTCATCCTAAGATCGATCCGTTAGGAGGTCATTGAGCACAGTGCTTAGGTCCTTCAACGATTCTACCATAAAGAATATATCGTCGGCAAAACG